AGCCAAAGTAAAAAACAAAAAAAAACAGAAGATATAGTGAGAATTGGATGTTGCTATGTTTATTGTTCCAAATACGGTAAAAAATATTTTATTAATTTTTTAGATAAAAGATAACATAGGTATTGATTAAGTTGTCTTAATTATGTTGTTGAAGATCTCCTAGTGGATACAAATATTTAAAAGAACAAAATATACTTCCTTTACCTTCCATATCGACAATTCGCAAACATTTATTAGCAGTAAAAATTGGATGCGGCTTTGATAAAGATTTCTTTAAGCTTCTTAAAAAAAAATTCAGTGAAAAATCAGAGAATCAAAAAAAAGCTATCCTTGTATTTGATGAAATCTTTGCTAGAGAAAGTTTAAATGTAAATACTAGAAATTTAACGTACAACGGTCTTGAAGATTATGGAGATGAGTTCAAGTCGAAAACATTAGAAAAAGCAAATCATGCTCTAGTTCTAATGATTCAAGGTTTGGCTGACCGTGTACATCAACCAATTGCTATGTTTGCATCAAAAGGACCTGTGAAAGGTTATTAAAAATTAGCGTGTATTTTAGTTTGCAACTTAGTTGATAAAAATATTTTTTTTTAGGAATGGAGTTAACAAAAATTATTCTCAAAGCTATTCTACTTCTTGAAAATTCAGAAATTCAAGTTATGGGAATAAAGAGTGATGGGGCAGCTACAAATTGTTCATTGTGGAATAATTTGGGTGTATGTGGAAAAGCAGATAAATTTAAAAACTTTTTTGAAAATCCTTATGACCCTAATCGAAAAGTATTTGTATTTTCTGATGCCCCTCACTTACTAAAAACTGTAAGAAACCGATTATTTGCAAAGCAAAAATTAAGAGTAAGTGTTTCTTACTAAATAACATTTTGTTTATTTCATACATGGTAATCATGGTGTTGTAGTATGTATATAGTATATGTACATAATACTAATTAAATAATTATAGACCTTATCTTTCATATTTATTTATGTTATGACTTATGATGTGTATGTTATGTAGATTCATCCAAATAAACAATACATACAATGGGGTTTTTAGGAAAGGGTATTTTCTTATGATACAAAAACCATGCTAAAAGTTTGTCCTAAATTGACCAAAAGTCATTTTGATTTGAACAACTTGACAAAAATGAAAGTCAAATTTGCTTCTCAACTCTCAAGTAAATATTATTTTTTTTTTTTTATATAATTTTATATTATATTATTAAATCTAATTCATAATACTTTTCATATGATATAATTTAAATATAAAACATTTTTGCTATTTGTAGTTGTTTAGTTTATCAATGGCAACCGGAATAGAATTTTATAAAATGAAAAAGTTTGATGGTTTTGAAAACTGCGAAGAAACTGTAGACTTTACACGTTTAATGAATAATTTATTCGATGCTTTAAACAGAAAGTTTCCGGCTGAAGGCATAAAACCAAATGGAAAAGATTTAGAGGTTTTTTATTTCCTATATGCGTTGCATGATGCTTGTGTTTCACTAATATCAGGAAAGTATTAGTATCTATGTATTTAATTAATATCAAGAAAATATAAGTAAATATGTATTTTTATACATTATAGATAGGATAGGTATGGATTTTTATGTAACATATGTGACTATAGTTGTATACAACAAATATTTGATTTCTAGGTACTTAAGTATACATTAAATTGGTTAAACAACTGGGAAGAAAATTTAAATCAGAACCTAATTAACAAAGATGAATTTCTCACAAGACAAACATCTGAAGGATTGAGAATGACTATTAGTTCCACATTAGATTTGTCAAACTATTTACTTAATCAGTGTGGATTTGCATATGTTTTGACAGCAAAAATGAACCAGGATTGTCTGGAAGTTAGTATTATTTATTGTTATTTATTATTTGTCTTTATTTTTATAATATGAACCTAAAATTAAAAATATTGAAACATACCAATTTTATTAACATTTCAGAGATTTTTTGGGATTATTCGACAAGTAAACGGACCAAACGACCATCCATCATCAACATATTTTATGCAATTATATAGATTGTTATCAGTTTACAGTTTAGTAAAACCTCCCAAAACCGGGAATTGTACTATTCTTGAAGCCTTGAAGGTATCCACTCAGCACTGTGAATGTTTCTATATCAACTATATCCTACAAAGTTCTATCAATTAATAAAAAACATAATATTTTATTTTATTTAGAAAACATACCAATTATTAATATAGCTGATTTAAAGGAAATTATAAATGAACAAAATAACACATTAGAAAGAACAGAAAAAATAAAAAAGCTGAAGTAAAAAATGGACAATATAGTAGAAGAAGGTATTTGGGACTTTGATGATACTTTTCAGGAACATAATTATTGTAATGTACCTGAATCAACAGTTTTTGAATGCATTGTGTACTTTCTGACTGGGTAAATATCTGGGTAATTGAAGGTTTATCTTACTAAATTAATTATATTATGATTTCACTGTTCACAGTTACATTGTAAAATGTTTGAAAAACAGTTTTAAGTGCGACCTATGTATAAAATGTTTAGAAGCAAAATATGGAATACTACCAGACCCAGAAGCAGATTTAGTAAATATGAAAACTAGAGGATTTTTAACACACCCAAGTCGTCCAATATTTTCATATATTAAGGAGTTAGAATTTTGTTTTAAAGAGCATGCAGATTCCAATGATGTATTTGATGATACGATTGATGAATTTCTACAAAATATTAATTTTAAATAACAATGGGGATGTGCAGAGCACAAGGGTAAAGTTATGACTGATATTTATGTACATTATATAACAAGGCGTATGAGGCAATACGCATAGGTATGCTAAAAACCAGGAAATGAAAAAAAAAAAAAATAAAACAAAAAAAAATTGTCAAAATTAGTTTCTTTGTAATAAAGAATAAAGAATAATATGTAACTGTAAAATGTGTTGACTTTTTAATTTATTTTTTCCAATGTTAATATTAAAAAAATTAAAAAAGCTAATATCGACGTATGACAGTGTGAGACAATGAATTAGTAATTACATGTCTAGTTGTTATATGTAAAAACTCGTATTTTTACATATAACCACTAGATAGCAGCATTAGGCAGTCAGTTTAGACTAATACTAGCTCTAAGTGTAACTCGGGGCCCATCGGACTCGCTGGGAGTGGGTACTGATTTTGGAGACAATGAATTATAAAAGCCGCAAAGGTTGTAAGATGAAAGCATAGAACAGTAATGAAAGTTTAGGATTTGTGATAAGGATTAGGGATATGGATTGGAGATAAGGCTAGACGCTTTGGCGGGAATGTTAAAAGTTTGAGCGTCTAGCAATCCGTCACAAACGTTGTAAATGGATAGGCTGGATACGATCTCCAGGATCACCTATATAGAGTATACCTGCACATAGAGTGGTATGTGCCATAGCATGACCGGTGCTTTATCTGATGTAAAAAGTGTAAAGTCGAAAACAGTGTTGTAGTTTCTAGCAAGTCAGCCATCTCAAGTCAAAATCTATTAACTTTCAAGTTAGCCACTTAGGTAGGCAATCCGACTTCGTCGGATCGCGGACAATGTGCTACAGCAGATCAGGTAGGCAATGCACCTGCGGTGGATTTCAGACCCGACATCAAGCGGCTATAAGTGAAAACCCTATCACACAACTTACGAAATAATTTACGAAAAATTCAAACTATATACAATATACATACAAACAAATATGATATGTATTTATTGTGTGATATAATATAATAACAATGAACATTTTGAGAAATGTGCAATTATAATTCCTAAAAAAAATTAACATATAGGTGGATAGTTAGATACATGCTATTTTATTAACCAATACAATACATATAAACATGTAACTATATAGTGTATATAGTATATACTATATATATTCATTTAAAAAAAAAATGCAAAAACCCGCATGTTAAAGTGTCTATCAAGTCAATCATCACCGTTTAAGACGAAACTAAAATGAGCAATCCGTCTATCACCTATATATAGTAGGTATATCACATAGAGTGGTATGTGCCTTCGCATGTCCGGTGCTTTTTCTTATGTAAAAAGTGTAAAGTAGAAAACCGTGTTGGAGTTTCTAGCAAGTCCGTCATCTCAAGTCAAAATCAAGATTAACTTTCAAGTTAGCCACCAAGGTAGGCAATCTGAAATAAAATACAAACTATATTTATATAACAATCATGGAAATTTTAAAAAATATGCAATTATAATAATTCCTAATAAAACAAATATAATATGTACCTATTTATTGTGTGATATAATATGACAATGACTTTAAATAATAATAATGTACGATAATAATATGTTCCTGTATTATTATATTATTATTTAATTTATATGAAAAATATAGTGAAAAAAAATGCAAAAAAGTCTCGACCCCCCCCCAGAAAAAAATATAATATAATATAATTATTACATCATAACTCGTATGTGTTTTTTTTATATTATAAACTTGTAGGTACCTAATATTTAGACCCCCCCACAAAAAATTTGAAAATACGCCACTGCTTACACTCATCAACTATTGCAATAATGTATGAAGCCATGTGTTATATTACACTGACCATATTTAGGTGAATATAGGTAGTAGGTTGGGTTAAGTACATATTTCTGCAAAGGTAATATATTAGATATTTAGATCCACAATTTTGCTACAGGTGTCACATTAACAGAACTACAAAAAAAAAGTGATTTATATTTTCTTATAATTATAATTACTAAAAAAACAAATTGGGAAAAATAATAGACATTGATATATTTATTCTACTTTATGAGTTATTTTGTGATACCTTACAAAGTTACAAATTCAATTAAAAATACACTATGTCATTATAAAAAAAAAAAAATAATAAGAATGATTCACAATAATATTGTATTAAATATATTTATACATGTTCAAATTTATAATAATGATATATAATACAAAAATTAAACCATTTACAAAAATGTATAGATTAAAAATGATCCATAATTGTTGAATTTTCTAAATTCTTTTTGTAGTTTTGATTTTTTCTTGGATACTAGTAGGAAAATTTGAAATATATTTTCTTGCACATATAGAGCAGAAAAACTTGGAATAAAATATACTGCATTCAGGTTTAATGCAAACGTCTTTATCACACATAGAAAATACCGATCCTAAGATTAAAAATTGTCTTTTGCTGAGTGGAGAAAATGGATCTCTCGCTAATTAGTAATCAACTTTTGTTCCCACCTTGCGATTAAATAATATATGGTCGTTAAAACAATCATATCGTTCCGTCAGATTACAGTTTTTGCACACAAAAATTGGCCTCTCTTCAACAACTTGTTCTGTTCTATAAAAAAAAATAGGTAAAAAAATATTTGAAATGAGTTCACTTATTTATACACAATACAAAAATATTAGCAATGTAATCTAAAACTATGCGCTAAAAATATGCAGATTAACCAAAGAAAAAATAATAAGTAATTTTCATTCATATTTTTTAAAGTTATGTTTCATTGTCTAAATATTAAAATGTTAAATTTGTTTAACTAAACAAACGCACGCACACGTCACAACAACGACTGAAATAGAAGATCAAGAAGTTAAGACTATTTCATATAACATGTTTTCCACTAATTGCTTAATGCGGGCACAAAACACCGACAACTTCACATACTTAACCATGGTACCTTGAAATGGACTTCTATGTCATCTAGTATTAAATACGACTCAGCAATATTGATATACAAATGCATGATTGTTTGTTGCACTGTTGATTAATAATAAAATATTATACAATTTATAGAAATTTACTCAGGTATACCATGGCTTAGTTAAAAAATCAACTAAGTTGAAAAAAGTATTTTTAATACATAATATTTACTCAGTGTTAACTGTCTTTGTTTCTTCAGCTTTATTATCTGGAGTTTTAGTCCTTTCAGAATGTTTATTTCTGTTTCTGGTTTTACAATTAAAGGATGCTCTTGTTTGACAGACATATTTAAATTTCTAGAAATAAATATAAATTATAACTAATTATATTATTCGCTCATCAACAATAATACAGCTTTTCTTTAGTTATTGTTATCATAGACGCAATTTGAGGGCTTGGATGTGCCCCAGTGGCGCCGAAACCAAAAAAATGAGGTAGGGCTAACTTTCAAAATTATGAGACACCACCACCCCCTGACCAATAATATTTGACGTTTACAAAAAATATTTGATTCACCAGTATAGTTTCAATCTATAACACATTTTTAGATTCTGAGTGAAACGATGAATGTATTGATTTTACAATGATGTGTGTTTTTCTATTTTTTTATTTTTTTATTTTTTATTTTTTTATTTTTTTATTTTTGTGTCTGTGTACACGATAAGTAGTCGAAATAATGCTTCGATTTTCGACTTCAGTATCTTGTTCGATTGGAAAGTGAATATCGTTGGTGTATTGAGAAGGTCAATTTAGGAGGTTTAAAATTCACAGTACTTTTCAAAAGCGCCAAGAAAAACAAAAGAAAAATTAAGGAAAAATGGGAATTTTTACCCAAAATCGATTTTTCAGAAAATTGAATTTGGTTTTTGGTGTAACTTTAAAACAAATGACCTTAGATACATGAAATTTTCACTGGTTGTTTATATTTGCATTTTCTATACACGATAACATTTTCAAAATATTTTGATTTATTTTGAACTGTTTAGGGACATTTTCATTTTTCATTTTTTTTTTAGTTTTTTTTTCTAGAAATATCAATAAAATTTTATTTGTTGGTTAAAAAAACTTGAAAATTTAATAGAAGGCCCTAGTATATTGTTTCAAAGACAGATGAAAAATATTAAAAATCGTTAGTCACAGTTTTTTTTTTTATAAGCATTTAAAGTTCAAAAATTGACAAAATATGGAAAAATCACGAAAATTAGCAAATTATTTTGAGTTAAGAATTCGTAAAAATTTTTCTTTTTAAATCTAAGATTTGAAAATGTAATACAAGATTACTCATAAGTTTGTCTACCTTTATCAATAAAAAAATCTCTACCGGACAGTCAAATTAAATTTTTATGAGCGTTTGAAATTCAAATTTTTACAACATTGGATATTCACTCGATTTCTCATGTAGCGATTTCCTTATTTTGTTGTAATTCAAAAACGAATAACTGTAGATACACGAAAATTTCACTGAATGTTTATATTAGCATTTCCTATACACCATACAATTATGAAAATATTTTGACTCTTTTTGAGCTGTTTACGGACATTTTCAGTTTTCAATTTTTTTTTAATTTTCTTTTCTATAAATATCAATAAAGTTTTATCTGTTGGGCCAAAAAGCTCCTGATATATTGTTACAATAGCAATTGAAAAATATTAAAAATACATAGGCACATTTATTTTTTAAAAGCATTTAAAGATCGAATCTTGACAAAATTTATCAAAATTATCAATCATTGTAATTAATAAATTATAAAATGTTCGGTTTTTATAGCTAAGGATTGCAAATTTAAAACAAAGGTTCTCATAAATAGTTCATACTGTAACCAAAAATTCTAAGTTTTTATAGCTAAGGATTGAAAATTTAAAACAAGATTCCACGTAAGTAGTTAATTCTCTTACCGAAAAATCTAAAAAATATACAATCACAGTTTATTTTTATAGTCATTTTATGTTCAAATTTGGACGAAATTACATATTAAAAAACCTAGTTATTTTATTGTGATTATATAATATTATTCGTGGGTACCTACTTGAAACTTCTAAAGTGTACTATTATATATCTATGATAGTATCAGGGTTTGTTATTGAATATTGATGTTGATGTATAACGTGTTATAAGTACCTAATGGATAATGTAATATGATTAATTTGGAATTTATTATAGGTCAATTTTTTTTAATACCATAGATATGTATATAATTTGTCTTAAACCTAGACTGACATACCGTCTTCGCTCAGAATCGTTTTTCTTATACAATGATATTGTATCATTGAATTCAAATTTAATAGCATCCATTATACAGTGACCCACTTGTAACCTACTGTACTGCAGAGCGACATCCACTTACCCACCTTTATATTAGGTAAACCTTATCAGTAATCGTTATACATACTTTTATTTTGGATTGAAATTATACCAACATATTATACATAATTCCAAATTGACTTACTAGACACTAGTTATGTTTTAAAATATAACTTATAAATATTTTATGCTTACTATGGTTTTCAGGTTAACAAGATAATTATTAGCACTACCACAAATTAAGTTCTAACTATTAGGTAATAGGTATTATATGCTATGCTATTATGTGTATATGCAATGCTTCCACTGATATGCTTTTTTTTATCTGATCATTGAATAGACAACGACCGTGGTACCTAGCATACTATATTTACTAACTAATTATCATGGTTTTAATTAGGCTGTATTTAGGCTGTAGATTGCCTGTAAGGCTGTAAAGGCGTAGGCTACAAAAATAAGTCCAGGTATAAGTAACTCGTTGACACAATCACTGAACCACCAAACCACCCACCCACCACCTAAATATTATGAGGTAGGGCATCCACCCTACCTGAATATAGGGTTCGGCGCCACTGATGTGCCCTATTACAATGTAAATTTTAATAGTAATTTTGCCAGTGTCCTTAACCATAAGATAATATGAAAAATAACTAGAGGTGCTTCAGCAGTCAGCACCTCCATTTTTTTCAATGAAACTGCACCTCTGATTGTAATTCAACAATGCAATTATCTACTTATGTAAATAATTCTATGTTAGGGATAACTTAGGGACACAGGTAATGTTCTTAGGTTAAAGTTTGATGATGGGTGAATTCACTCTTATATTATAAGTAACAACACAGAGTTGGTTCTACTAAATATAAATTTGGTATGTTGCGCATGTATCAGAAAGAGTAAACAAATGGTGCGCCGACATCCTAATAACGAAAAATCAAGACATATGAACTTACAAAGTGGGTATTGTTATTAATTGTTCTGTGCCTATGTAGTGCGTAGTCAGTAGTGATTCAACAGGAACCGTAGTACCGGTATTCTGTAATCTATACTTGTGTGATTTTTTTTGATGTTGCGTCTTGATGTTGACTTTCTGTGATATTGAGATAATTATTAATTTTTATATTCATAGAAATCATAGACATCATTAATTATACACCTATATATTATGATAGAAACGTTTAAATATACATAATATCACGAAGTCCAAAGATCAGTCAATCTGTGTTGAATGAATTGAAAGATGGCTCCACTGCAGCAGTCCGTTCGAAAGTCACTTCGAAATTCAAATCTCAATGGCTCAATGATCGATTAATCGATGGCTTTGAATGAACATTGAATCATGCATTCAATATCTATAAGACGAAATTCTGTCGCAGAACAAATACTGAGTATATAATAAAATAAAAGATTTTAGTAACATGGAAGGTCGTAAAAGTTCAGTAGATCCTCTAAATACATAATCATCATTAGCACTGTAAAATATACAATTTAGTTATTACCAATAGTGTATGTATATTGTATACATATTGAACCAAATAAATGTATGTAAATTAACATGACATTACAAAAAAATAAATAAAACTATTACATAATTTTCTTGTTAAATAAGCAACACTTACTTTATTAAGATTGATATACTTTTGAAATCAAAATTATTTTCATTTCCAATAAATAAAACATCACTATTACAATTTGATATCTCAACAGGATATGTAGAAATACATTCAACGGATGACTTAGTGATATCTTCATTTTCAAATAAATATTTATCGTCATAATTTCTAAAAAAATTATAATTAGTTTATTAAAAAAAACATGGAAACTAATCAATTACCAATAAAAAGTTGTATACAATTATGTTACATTAAAATTATTTAATACAAAATTAAAAATTAATTATCAAAAAAATAAACTTAAATTAGTTCAAGTTATTTTTTGATTAAAGGGATGGGAAGAAATACAAAGCTAGAAAGAGTACTGTAAAGTAGTGGTATATGAAATTGTATTACCTTGACGTGGGCCAAACTTTTGAAATATACTTAACTATTATGGTATTGATTGCAATTTGATGTTTAACCTTAAATCAATTTTATAATTTATTTACCTACAATCAAAGCAATAATTCTATAATACAGACAAATTGTATGTATAAAAAAATAACTATCACAAGAAATGGTCCCAATACTTGAAAAAATAAAGAGACAATGGGTGGAGATATATCTGCATCGTTCACCCAAGTGAATATATGACAATATTGTACTATATAAGATAATATGCAAAAAAAAAACTGTTTACTTACTTCATAAAATCTGTCGTACATAATATATTATCAGAATTATTCTGAACACCTTTATTTTGTATAATAACATTTTCATCATTTATACCACTGCTAGAAATCTCATTATTTTGCTCTTCATCATATTCTAGGTACCTAAAAAAAATTACAAAAAAAAAAAATTATATTAATAAAATACTATAATAAGTAAACAATTATAAACATATTATGAAATATTGCTTATGGTACCCACCTTTGCGAACAAGAAAGTGTGTCTGGATGGTATACTAACTTGTGTTTATTTACATGATGCAACCATTGCGTCTTACTTTGGAGTTTGACTCTATTCCGTCAGGCTGCATGCCATAGGGACGTAATGGCAAATAATACGAATCCTTTGGTAAATTACTTGTACTGCTTTTAACGGTACCTAATGTATTACAGTAAGTTCTCGTTACAACGAACTCCAAGGGACCACATCTTTTTTTCGTTATAACGGAAATTTCGTTGTAAGGTCATTAGAAAAGCTTAATAGCTTTTCTGTAGGGGACTTCTAGGACTTTCGTTATAACGGGATTTTTCGTTGTATCGGTATTCGTTGTAACGGGAACTTATTGTATATTTTTTAGATAAATTGATCAATTTCGCTGACTGGTTTCTTCTATGCCGGGCCTCCATAGCAATTAACCAAAACAATAATCCTTGAACAACA